GATTGAGGCCGACATATACCAATTGACCTTTGAGAATGCCTGATTACATTGCAAAATTCAGTCCAGTGTTCACATTAAATTCAATATGGCGTCTCTCCCCGGCATCACTCCGCAGCTGTTCTACACCCCAACTCGAAATTTCTCGAAAGGGTTAAATCAGCATCATATTTTATTACACAATTATTATATTTATTTATATATTCTAAATTTAGGAAGTTATGTAAAAAAATTCCACAGTACATGTGTCTAATTCACTTAACTGACCATTATCTGTTTTCTGTTTATAACTGGTGGGAGCTCCATTGTTGGTGCTAGGGAGGATAGAAGTAAGACAGGGAAACATACACCAACAGGGAATACAGTCACAGAAACCCAAGGCAAACTCCCTTCCTGTAAGCTTTTTCACCCTGAACTGTGTACCTCTTCAGTACAGGAAAGACTGTGCTATAACTTAAACTGCCAGGCATACCATATAAAGGGGACAAAAAGATACAAAACATCCAGGCCATGGCAAAACCTGGGTAGCCACAGCCACTCAAGAGGGAGAGGTTTTTTAGTGCCAGGAAGGAAAAAAAACTGCCAGGAAATGGCAGAAATCGTACACCAAATCCAATCATTCCTGGAGTGGAACCACAGTCGATGGCCTTCACTCCAAACCAACAGATACAGATACTAATGCCGGAAAAAAAATCCCCCCCCAGTACCAACAATACCACCAGTCCGATAACATTCTTCTTTGCAAATATACAGGGTCTAAAGCCAGCAACAAACAACAAAATACCTTTCATCCGTGGACTGCTTGCAGAGGCAAAGGCAATGTTCGCGGCTTTCACTGAGACCCACATAAAGGATCACTTGGACAACGAAATATGGATCCCAGGTTACAACCTATACAGATGTGACAGAGTGAACAGGCAAAAGGGGAGGGTTGGCCTGTACATTGCAGAGTCACTTGTTTGCACAGAACTGGTAAATGCCTCAAATGATGTAGTGGAAGTTTTAGCAGTAAAGGTCGAGAACCAAAACCTAGTCATTGTGGTAGTCTACAAGCCTCCGGATGCAACATCCCAGCAATTCCAGGAACAGCTGTTAAAAATTGACCACTGTCTGGAAAACCTTCCAGCTCCTGCACCCAACATCTTGCTCCTGGGGGATTTCAACTTAAGGCACCTAAAATGGAGGAATATAGCAAATAATATTGTTGCAGTAATAACACCAGGAGGCAGCTCTGATGAAAACTCACACTCACGCGAGCTTTTAAATCTCTGCACAAAATTCAATTTAAACCAGCAAATAATAGAGCCTACTAGACTGGAGAATACACTAGACCTCATCTTCACTAACAATGATGATCTGATAAGAAATGTCACCATATCAAAAACAATATACTCAGATCACAACATAATTGAGGTTCAGTCACGTATGCGCGGAGCCCCAGACCGACATAATGAGATTAGTCACGAGGGAGCATTCACCAAATTCAACTTCAGTAACAAAAACATAAAGTGGGATCAAGTAAACCAAGTCCTAACCGATATAAGCTGGGAAGATATACTAAGCAACACAGACCCCAACTTATGCCTAGAACAGATTAACTCGGTGGCACTCGATGTATGCACAAGGCTTATTCCTCTAAGAAAAAGGAGGAGTAGATGTAAAACAGAAAGAGACAGGCGCTCCCTTTACAGGCGACGGAAAAGAATAACAGAGCGGCTAAAAGAGGTCAATATATCTGAAATGCGTAGGGAGACACTGGTCAGAGAAATAGCAAGCATCGAACTTAAGCTAAAAGAATCCTTTAGGAGTCAGGAATCGCGGGAAGAACTAAAAGCCATAAATGAAATCGAAAGAAACCCAAAGTATTTCTTCTCCTATGCCAAATCAAAATCGAGAACAACGTCCAGTATTGGGCCCCTACTTAAACAAGATGGGTCCTACACAGATGACAGCAAGGAAATGAGTGAGCTACTCAAGTCCCAATATGACTCAGTTTTTAGCAAGCCGCTAACCAGACTGAGAGTCGAAGATCAAAATGAATTTTTTATGAGAGAGCCACAAAATTTGATTAACACAAGCCTATCCGATGTTATCCTGACGCCAAATGACTTCGAACAGGCGATAAATGACATGCCCATGCACTCTGCCCCAGGGCCAGACTCATGGAACTCTGTGTTCATCAAGAACTGCAAGAAGCCCTATCACGAGCCTTTTCCATCCTATGGAGAGGGAGCATGGACACGGGGGTCGTCCCACAGTTACTAAAAACAACAGACATAGCCCCACTCCACAAAGGGGGCAGTAAAGCAACAGCAAAGAACTACAGACCAATAGCACTAACATCCCATATCATAAAAATCTTTGAAAGGGTCCTAAGAAGCAAGATCACCACCCATCTTGAAACCCATCAGTTACACAACCCAGGGCAACATGGGTTTAGAACAGGTCGCTCCTGTCTGTCTCAACTATTGGATCACTACGACAAGGTCCTAAATGCACTAGAAGACAAAAAGAATGCAGATGTAATATATACAGACTTTGCAAAAGCCTTCGACAAGTGTGACCATGGCGTAATAGCGCACAAAATGCGTGCTAAAGGAATAACAGGAAAAGTCGGTCGATGGATCTATAATTTCCTCACTAACAGAACACAGAGAGTAGTCGTCAACAGAGTAAAGTCCGAGGCAGCTACGGTGAAAAGCTCTGTTCCACAAGGCACAGTACTCGCTCCATCTTGTTCCTCATCCTCATATCCGACATAGACAAGGATGTCAGCCACAGCACCGTGTCTTCCTTTGCAGATGACACCCGAATCTGCATGACAGTGTCTTCCATTGCAGACACTGCAAAGCTCCAGGCGGACATCAACCAAATCTTTCAGTGGGCTGCAGAAAACAATATGAAGTTCAACGATGAGAAATTTCAATTACTCAGATATGGTAAACATGAGGAAATTAAATCTTCATCAGAGTACAAAACAAATTCTGACCACAAAATAGAGCGAAACACCAACGTCAAAGACCTGGGAGTGATCACGTCGGAGGATCTCACCTTCAAGGACCATAACATTGTATCAATCGCATCTGCTAGAAAAATGACAGGATGGATAATGAGAACCTTCAAAACTAGGGAGGCCAAGCCCATGATGACACTCTTCAGGTCACTTGTTCTATCTAGGCTGGAATATTGCTGCACACTAACAGCACCTTTCAAGGCAGGTGAAATTGCCGACCTAGAAAATGTACAGAGAACTTTCACAGCGCGCATAACGGAGATAAAACACCTCAATTATTGGGAGCGCTTGAGGTTCCTAAACCTGTATTCCCTGGAACGCAGGAGGGAGAGATACATGATTATATACACCTGGAAAATCCTAGAGGGACTAGTACCGAACTTGCACACGAAAATCACTCACTACGAAAGCAAAAGACTTGGCAGACGATGCACCATCCCCCAATGAAAAGCAGGGGTGTCACTAGCACGTTAAGAGACCATACAATAAGTGTCAGGGGCCCGAGACTGTTCAACTGCCTCCCAGCACACATAAGGGGGATTACCAACAGACCCCTGGCAGTCTTCAAGCTGGCACTGGACAAGCACCTAAAGTCAGTTCCTGATCAGCAGGGCTGTGGCTCGTACGTTGGTTTGCGTGCAGCCAGCAGCAACAGCCTGGTTGATCAGGCTCTGATCCACAAGGAGGCCAGGTCACAGACCGGGCCGCGGGGGCGTTGACCCCCGGAACTCTCTCCAGGTAAACTCCAGGTAATTCCTTTGGGGGTTCATCTATGATAATGAGGGACTCAGTGTGTAGGGTAATGAGGCAACCACCAGTATAAGCTTAAGGCCCACCACATAATGCAGAAACACCTGTAATCCACCTGCTTTAGTCTGGCAACCACTTAAGGACAGAGAATTGTTTATTATTATTACAATCAAAGATACGAAGATACGGTAGATACGAAGATACGGTACTATGTTCCACAGTCAGCCCTCCTGGCCCTTTATCACTCTCTTATTTACCCCTATCTCACCTATGGAATTTGTGCATGGGGCTCAACAACAACTAACCATCTCAGACCACTAATTACCCAACAAAAGGCTGCAGTTAGAATGATAACAAATTCTCACTACAGGCAGCACACTCCACCAATATTCAAAATACTCAACCTACTCACCATACAAAACATCCATACTTATTATTGCACTTATTACATACATAGAACACTTAACTCTGATATTAACCCTCCCCTCAAGCATCTTGCCAACCTCAACAGAACACATGACCATAATACAAGGCACAGATCACTCTTTGATGTTCCTCGTGTCCATCTCACGCTATGCAAAAACTCAATGCACATAAAAGGCCCTAAAATCTGGAATTCATTACCTGTAAATATAAAAGAAACACTACCTGTTTATAAATTCAAGTCTCTTCTCAAAGTTCACTTACTCACTCAAAACCAAATAAATACTGAATAACTGAACCATATAAATTGTATATCCTAAATGTTACTCACAATTATATCACACAAATGTTAAACCTAACTTTGTTTTTTTTAAATACACTTCCTGAATGAACAGCAATGCATGCAACCATAGGACCTGTCTTTGTAATACTCATTTGTATTTTATAGTTATCTGTTTACAATAATGTCTTATCACTGATTTCATCATTGCTTAGTTAATCTTAAGTTAATTTTAAGCCAGCCCGTAATGCTATGCATATAAGTGGCTTTGGCATGCTGCTCTTACCTGTATTTTTTTGTACCTCTGTATGTATGCTCAAATTTATAAATAAATAAATAAGTGTTAAACCCACAAGGGTCATACTGTTGAGTGCCTAAAGCACTGTAGAGTATCTTCCCTCATCCTACTGCCTGCAAGCAAAGGAAGTTAATAAAACTAATCTAATCTAGTGCAATGACTGCAGAACAAGAAGAAAAAAAGAGACTTCCGGAAGTGTCTACCATTTCCTGGATGTTCCCAGACATGGCAGGTGGAACATAGATACCAGGAGAGAGCACAAGTTCAGTGTGCTGTTGTCAGTGGTTCAGCAGGGAGACAAATCTACACACCCATTCTTCTATTGATCTTCATATATGTATGTATGTTTATACACACACACCACACACACACACACACACACACACACACACACACACACACACACACACACATATATATATATATATATATATATATATTTATATATATTATATATATATATGTATATATATATATTATATATATATATATATATATATATATAATATATATATATAATATATATATATTATTATATATATATTATATATATATTATATATATTTATATTATATATATATATATATATATATATATATATATATTTATATATATATTATAATATATTATATATAATTATATTATGCATGCTATTTTGGTAATTACTTTCTATTCCATATTTGTTTGGTGTATGTTCATTTTGGTAAATAACTTTGATTTTACATAATAGTTGTCAATAATTTAGTCACATGGAACGTATGAAGCAGTGTGTACGTTGGAATTAGAAATTTATTATTGTTATTATTATTATTATTATTATTATTATTATTATTATTATTTAACACTGGCCGTTTCCCACTGAGGTAAGGTGAACCAATAAAGAAGAGATACTTTTACCATCATTCATTCCATGACTGTCTTGCCAGAGGGGCGCCAACATTATTACTCAGATGACCTTCAAACTGCAACATTCCCCAGCCCTCCTTACCACCTCCAGGACTCAAGTCCGACCAACCGGTTTCCCTCAATAACTTCTTAAATGTTACTATTAGATGTTATTGTTATTATTACTATTATATTTAGAGGGAAGCTCTTATCCCGTAGGAGTCATACAATGTCTGACGAATGTCAGGTAATGAGGTCTGGTCTATGGAAGGGGAGGCCAGGTCCAATTCCCAGGATCAAGAGCTGCTCACTGCCCTTAATAAACCTTCCTTGATATTTTTAATATAAGTGATTAGTAAACACAAGAATTCTATTTTTTCAGCTTCTACGATACTCATAAAACTAGAATCAACTATTGTGTTTGCATAGTACATTATTTTCTTGGGGAAGCATTAAACTCTCAGGGGTTTATTATACAGTGTCTGGGAAATGGGAGGCAGTCAAATTTGAATCAGGGAAAGGAAGGGCATTATTATTATTATTATTATTTATTATTATATATTATTATTATTATTATAATTATTTATTATTATTATTATTATTATTATTATTATTATTATTATTATATTATAATCACGGGGAGTACTAAACCTGTAGGGATTATGCAGCGCCTGTGGGGGGGGGGATGAAAGGTATTCAGACTCAATTCAGGGAACAGAGCACAGATCCAATTCCCTAGATCAAGCCTTCACCTAGCGTAAGGAAGTCTTTCAATAAGGAGCACACTCACCAATATTCAAAACACTCAACCTACTCACCATTACAAACATCCATACTTATTACTGCACTTATTACATACATAGAACACTTAACTCTGATATTAACCCTCCCCTCAAACATCTCCTTGCCAACCTCAACAGAACACATGACCATAACACAAGGCACAGATCACTCTTTGATGTTCCTCGTGTCCATCTCACGCTATGCAAAAACTCAATGCACATAAAAGGCCCTAAAATCTGGAATTCATTACCTGTAAATATAAAAGAAACACTACCTGTTTATAAATTCAAGTCTCTTCTCAAAGTTCACTTACTCACTCAAAACCAAATAAATACTGAATAACTGAACCATATAAATTGTATATCCTAAATGTTACTCACAGTTATATCACACAAATGTTAAACCTAACTTTATTTTTTTTAAATACACTACCTGAATGAACAGCAATGCATGCAACCATATGACCTGTCTTTGTAATACTCATTTGTATTTTATAGTTATCTGTTTACAATAATGTCTTATCACTGATTTCATCATTGCTTAGTTAATCTTAAGTTAATTTTAAGCCAGCCCGTAATGCTATGCATATAAGTGGCTTTGGCATGCTGCTCTTACCTGTATTTTTTTGTACCTCTGTATGTATGCTCAAATTTATAAATAAATAAATAAATAAATAAATAAATAAATAAATAAATAAATAAATAAATAAAGGAAGGGCAGCTGTACCTCTATGGATCAAGAGCCCTTCACCGGCATCGAGAAACTATCCTGGGTGTTTACACATGGTAAGCTGTGGTTTAATTACTCACGTAACTAAACCTAAGTGTTTTATGCATCTGTAACGTTTTTTCAGAGCACCTATAACTCTTTTTTAGTGTAAATATATTTTTTTCAGGAGCTGCTACAGGAGGCAGGAGTTACTGCAGGAGGCAGGAGTACTGCAAGAACTACTGTAGGAACCAGCAGCTACTGCAGGAAGCAATATTTATTGCATGGGGCAGAAGATCTTGCAGAAGCCCCTGCAAGAGGTAGGAATTACTAAAGGAGACAGGAGCTGGTGCAGGAAACAGGAACTGCTGCAGGAGGCAGGAGCTACTGCAGGGAACGGGAGATACTGCAGAAGCCCCTGCAGGAGGAGGGAGATACTGCAGGAACTTTTGCATTCAGCAAGGCTACTAAAGAAAGCAGTACCTTTTACAGGAGGCAGGGCAACTGCAGGAGACAGTACTCAATGCACAAAGCAATACCTACTGCAGGTGAGATTAACGATGGTGCCAACGAGACTAGAAACAAGAGCCTACACTCGATTAGCCGTCTCCAAACGCATGTATAAACTATACTGCAAGCACGATTGCTTCCCAACAAACACCTATTCTCAATTGGAGATGTGAGCTGGAAAAAATTTGCTCTAGGACTAATTTATTTGCTAACGCAAAATTCAGATTCTGAACAATACATTACATGTGAAACATTCCTTTGTATTAACCTTCCAGCCATGAAGAGAAACATCATGTTTTTGTGGTTCGTCTTCTTTGGCGTGTTCGTCTGTTCTGTAGGGTCGCAGGAATCTACGTCAACTGTGCAATATCCTAAAGACCCATCCACTACGAAAGATCCTGAGCCATCATCTAAACTTAGGAGTTCAGGAGATGAAGTTACTGAACCTATATCGCACATGACGTCAGGCGTGGTTTGCACGACTCCTTCCCCATCTAATGTGAGCGACCTGGTAGCTCTTCCTCGACCAGTCGTGTCCGCTGCTCTTATCCTCATTCTAACAACTGCTTTCTTACACATTATCTTCATTGTTCACTGCTGTGTCTCTGCGTGGAGCATATGCTCCTCCAAAATTGGGAAGATTCCTGCGCATAAAGTGTCAGATTTTGGATTAAGAAGCCGAAAAAATAGTCATTCTCCCTCGCCGGAAAATGTTCAGCTCCGAAGAAGAGTGAAGAACTTACCAGTTCACTTTGATTATGATTCTCGAGAGGAACCCAGACGCAGGTCCATTGCTACTACTCCCAACCTGGAAGGCTTTTTCAATTTAGACAGAGTTTTAAATCAAGGCAAATACAGCAAAAATTTTTCGCTTTGTCAGGCACAAACTTCCCCAGTGATGGAAAGGGAAGACTGTAGTTCATTGTCTTATCTACAGGAAACAAGGAATGATAACGATTTGTTAAGACATTCTGGCGAACACAACAGCAAGAAGTCATATTCTGTTTTGCCACTTCCCACCATTACTGTAGAAGCTCCCCGAGAATGTGAAGACGCACGTTATCCTAATTCTGGACCGTCCTCTGATTCCATTACACGAGACAAATGGCTCAAATCACTAACGTCAAGAAATGAAGGCATTTTGTTAGATGAATTAGTGGCACAAGGAAATAACTATTCACTTTTGGCTCGGGAAAATGCGCGCGTTCAGACACAAGAAAATGCTTCCAACAGTGATAACGAGAGATACTCTCGTGACCCCAGATCAGATGAGGTTGATGTAGACATAATTGAGAAAGGGGGACTTTTGACTAATGCGAAAATGAGAACGACGTTAGTACCTCACTTCAGAGCATCCTCGATCTCTCCTGTGGAGCAACAGGACAATTATAACTTCCGCGAGAGTTTTTGCTATGTGGCAACTGATCCAGAATTTCGGCACTCAACAGAATTCACTAGTGCTCCAGGCTACCATCGCGAGAACTTGAGATCAGGTGAAACTTCAAAGTTTCCGTATGCGCCGCCATCACTGCAACTACCCAAGTGCAATAACAAAGTCGAACAGGAAATAAAATTACCATTCAATATCGAAACACAAAATATCTTTGACTCTGATCCAGAGCCTGATGTACTGGAAGCATGGAACATCCCTGTGTTTTCCAAAGAAAAAAAAACGGCTACGATAAATCCCAACCCCATCTTATTAAGAAAATCATTCTCGAGAAACACATTAGGCGTGAGTGAACCTCAACTTTGTAATCCGCTTCGGAGATTCAGTTCATTCGAAGTGATTGAGGCTCAGCGAAGGAATCCGACAGTGAAGGAACATCACCGGAGCTTCCACGGAGGCGATAACATTGCGAGTCTCTTGCAAGGTTATACGGAACTCCGAACGCTAGTTTGACTTTCCTCTTACTCTGTTCAAGATATATTGTACAACAGCAAATGGGATTACCGTAATCTAATGTAGAAGGCTTTTAACCAAGGATAATCCAACAAAACCACAGTGTGAGTTAATACGATTCTCAATAGCTGCTTAACGTCTAGGTACTTGCTTGTTTTATTGCTGCCAGGACCAAGACAACAGGGGTAAGGAGCTGTTTTCATACTTCTTTCCCTGTGTGTGTGTGTGTGTGTGTGTGTGTGTGTGTGTGTGTGTGTGTGTGTGTGTGTGTGTGTGTGTGTGTGTCTCAACAATCAATATTTGCACCAATAACTTATTACAGTTGTGACCGGGTGTAGAAGTGTGAATTGCTCATTACACTATAATTTGTTCATGATTGTAGCCATGTATAAACGTAAGTAACCATTCTTACAGAATTCATTACCTTTGTAACTTGTGAGCTCATTACCTTTGTACCTAGTTCAGCTATCAAAACTTTGGGGGCCCAGTCCCTGGACCCATTACGTACCTCTGTAATCTGTAAATACCTTTGTAACTTGTCATGATTGTGACCAGACCTACCTGGAGTTCATTACCTTTGTAAATTGTGAGTTCATTACCTTTGTAAATTGTGAGTTCATTACCTCTGTAACTTGCTCAGCTATCAAAACTTTGGAGTCCAGTCCCTGGACCAATTATGTACCTCTGTAATCTTTTGACTACCGTCCACAGGATGGGTATGGTGTGCATAATAAACATATTAAACTAACACCCGAGAACTGAACCCAGGTCCTTTGGGTTGTGAGCTAAAATTGCATTATTAGGGCTAGCTATGTTTTCCTGTTATATTCCTTCCCACTACATGAGTTTCCTAAATAAAGTAATGAAATCTACCAGTCTAGGCTGGGAGACTTGGAAATGGCGATGAGGATATCGTCATGTATTCCACTATGGGTTCAGTAGCTGTGAGAGCCTCAAAGGTTTTCTTCGTTCGTGTGTTGTTGCTTGTGCAACCCGTCTATCTAGCTAATGGCTATCTATAATTTTTCTGCCCCGAGAGCCCAATGGTGATACTCCTGTCGTAACACAATCATCTGCTTCAAATGATAGGTCTCTTCTAGAATATGTAAGCAGATACAGGTATCTAGGCTTTGAGGTTCCACTACTTGGACCTGTTGTAACAAGACTTTGTCGCCAATACAAAGAAAGACTAAGAGCACTTAGAGTTGTGGCTGGGTTTCACCCCAGGTATGGTGCTAATGTTAAAATTGTGAAAATGATGTATCTTGCTTATATTAGATCATTGGTTGATTATGCTGCGTCACTACTTGCTCTTGTGTCTGACTGGAAGCTTGGAGGGCTGGAAAAACTGCAGAACGAAGCAATGAGGATCATTTTAGGATGCCCTCATACTGCCAAAATTTTAAATATGCAAAAAGAACTTGATATTCCAAGCATCAGAGATCGTGTTACTGAAAGAAATATCCTAATTGGGGTTAATATGCTCAGGCAAGCACATTCAAACCCCTGCACAGAAGCCCTCCAAACTTTCCTCAGCACTGGTGAACACTCCTCTAGATGGATCGAAAAAACTGGAACCGACCTCCGCATGAATCAGATACATGATCAATGATTTTCAAGTAAGGCAACAGCGGCACTTCTCCGCTCCGTGGGATATTTCCCATTCCAAACTACCATTCCTCCATTTCCCCCCAAACTACTTCTTAAATCACAACCAAAACTTCTCCTTGAAGCCAAACATGATGCCTTAAGCTGTATTGATAACTTAGTCACACAGCACACACTCTCGCAAATTATTTACGTTGATGGTTCTGTTCACCAATCCACTGGTGTAGCTGGTGGTGCTGCTGTTGTCGTACAGAGTGATGGCTCTCTTAAAGAAATTGGAGCACGCATAAATAATTGGGCCTCTACCCTTCAGACAGAACTGTTTTGCCATACTCCTTGCATTTGAAAAGCATCTATGTATCTAAGATTGACAGTTTAATTGTAACTGATTCCTGTCATCCATAAATGCTCTCAACTAAATTAAGCATAAATTGGGGCATGCTTGTGTCAGAAGCCAGACACAGGTATGGTAAGATTGTGGACAGTGGAGTCAGAGTGCACATGCTGTGGATTCCATCTCACATTGGTCTTCGGATGCATGATAGAACTGATAAATTGGCTAAGCTGTATGCTTTCAAAGAGGGAGTAGATTACAATCTTGGCTTGTCATGTAGTAATTTGAGAACAATAATACGAAAAGAACTTCAACTGAATTTTATTGACTTAAGACTCAGGGAGATTGACACCAGTCAGTCCCTATTATCATTCTATCATGCAGGAGGAGCCACATGTCTATGATGCATCCAACAGAATAACCAGACTCTTGGATGTCACTACCGCCCGGCTCCGGCTGGGTTACAAGTATCTTTGGCGGGTTAAATCACCACCACCAGATGTAGGCCAAACGAAATGTAAACTTTGCCAGATGGACTATTGTCACACCCTGCGTCATTATCTACTGGAGTGCGATAAAATTAATGAATTTAGAAACAACTCACTCAGAAGTGTTCAAGAAATGGCAAAGTATTTTATCCACAGTGGTATTACAGACCATTCTGGAGAAATACCCTGACTTTGCTAGCTGTAAATAAAGCATTACCACATGTGTGCGTGTGTGCGTGCGTGTGTGTGTGTGTGTGTGTGTGTGTGTGTGTGTGTGTGTGTGTGTGTGTGTATGTACTCACCTAATTGTACTCACCTAATTGTGGTTGCAGGGGTCGAGACTCAGCTCCTGGCCCCGCCTCTTCACTGATCGCTACTGGGTCCTCTCTCTCTCTGCTTCCTGAGCTTTGTCATACCTCTTCTTAAAACTATGTATGGTTCCTGCCTCCACTACTTCACTTGCTAGGCTATTCCACTTGCTGACAACTCTATGACTGAAGAAATACTTCCTAACGTCCCTGTGACTCGTCTGAGTCTTCAGCTTCCAGTTGTGACCCCTTGTCCCTGTGTCCCCTCTCTGGAACATCCTATCTCTGTCCACCTTGTCTATTCCCCGCATTTTCTTGTATGTCGTTATCATGTCTCCCCTGACCCTTTTGTCCTCCAGTGTCGTCAGTCCGATTTCCCTTAACCTTCCTCGTACGACATTCCCTTGAGCTCTGGGACTAGCCTTTTTGCCCAAACCTTGTACTTTCTCTAACTTCTTGACGTGCTTGACCAGGTGTGGGTTTCCAGACTGGTGCTGCATAAATCCCGTATGGGAGTAACATACACAGTGTACAGTGTCTTGAACGATTCCTTATTAAGGTATCGGAACGCTATTCTCAGGTTTGCCAGGCGCCCGTATGCTGCAGCAGTTTTTTGGTTGATGTGTGCCTCCGGTGATGTGCTCGGTGTTATGGTCACCCCAAGTCTTTCTCCCTGAGTGAGTCTGTAGTCTTTGTCCACCAGCCTAACTCTGTCCCGGGGTCTTCTTTGCCCCTCCCCAATCTTCATGACTTTGCATTTGGCTGGATGAATTCGAGAAGCCAGTTTTCTGGACCACATGTCCAGCCTGTCCAGGTCTCTTTGCAGTCCTGCCTCATCCTCGTCCGATTTAATTCTTCTCATCAACTTCACGTCATCTGCGAACAGGGACACTTCAGAGTCTATTCCTTCCATCATGTTGTTCACATATATCCAAAATAGCACTTGTCCTAGAACTGACCCCTGTGGGACCCCGCTCGTCACAGGCGCCCACTATGATACCTCTTCACGTACCATGACTCGTTGCTGCCTCCCTGTCAGGTATTCCCTGATCCATTGCAGTGCCCTCCCTGTTACATGTGCCTGGTCCTCCAACTTCTGCACTAATCTCTTGTGGGGAACTGTGTCAAAGGCCTTCCTGCAGTCTAGGAAAACGCAATCTACCCACCCCTCTCTCTCGTGTCTTACTTCTGTTACCTTGTCATAAAACTCCAGGAGGTTTGTAATACAAGATTTGCCTTCCATGAACCCATGCTGGTTTTCATTTATAATCTTGTTCCTTTCCAGGTGTTCGACCACTCTCCTCCTGATAATCTTCTCCATGACTTTGCACACAATACATGTCAGAGACACAGGTCTGTAGTTTAGCGCCTCATTTCTGTTTCCTTTCTTAAATATGGGGACTACTTAGCTGTCTTCCATTCTCAGGTAGTTGCCCATTTCAAGGGATGTTTGAAGGTTGTGGTTAGAGGCACGCACAGCATCTCTGCTCCTTCTCTAAGGGAAACCCCTGGGGAGATGTTGTCTGGTCCATCGCCTTTGAGGTGTCAAGGTCACTTAGGAGCTTCTTCACCTCCTCCTCAATTGTTTGTATGTCACCAACACTTGTGGTATATTCCCTCTTGAGTTTCCTTCTGTGCTGTCTTCCCACAGCCCTTCCCCGTCTCTACTGTAAACACTTCTTTAAATCTCCTGTTCAGCTCCTCACATACCTCCTGATCCCTTTCTTGTGATTCCTCCACCTTTGTCCTTAATCTGAAACACCTGGTCTTTGACTGTTTCTTCCTCCGATGTGGGTATACAACAGTTTCGGGTCAATCTTGATTCTCGATGCTATGTCATTTTCATACTGTCGCTGGCCTCCCTCCTTACCTGTGCATTTCTCATTCCTGGCTCTGCGACTGATCCCCTATTTTCGTGTGTTCTCTGCCTTTTGTACTTTTTCCTTCTCTATTGCACTTTGTTTTTGCCTCCTTACACCGTCGGGTAAACCAGGGGCTCGTTCTGGTCTTCCCGTTGTTACTGTTGCCCTTGGGAATAAACCTTTCCACTGCCTCCTTGCATTTTTGTTGTTACATATTCCATCATTTCAATTACTGCTTTCCTGCCAGTTCTCTGTCCCACTGGACCCTCCCGCAGGAAGTTCTTGAACCCTATGTAGTCCCCTCTTTTATAGTCAGGCTTTTCCCATTCAGCTCCCTTTTTTCTCTCCACTTGCAGCTCTACTATGATTCAAAGCACAGAACCACGTGGTCGCTAGCTCCTAGGGGACTCTCATACTTGATGTCCTCAATGTCTGAGCTCCCCAGGGTGAACACAAGGTCCAATCTTGCGGGTTTTTCATCTCCCCTCTCCTCTGGTATTTTTCCTTAACATTTTGGGTGCATGAGGTTTTCCAGCACCACGCCCAAACACCCGGGCCCTCTCCTTTGTTTCGGGCCCCCATGTGGCTCCGGGTTTTTCCCACCCCCAATCTCCCTGGGGTTGAAATCCCCCATAACCGGGCCAACTTTGCTCTGCGGGAGTGAGTCTTTTTGGGCCACCTCACAAGGGGTGTCCACCATTTGCTCTGTTGCTTCTTCATATCCTCTTTTGGGCCTCCTGCATTTTTCTGTGGTGGTTTTATACTTTCACTGCAAGCCCATTTTGGGTTTTCCCCCAAAAACTAAAAGTGTACCTGCTATGTAGTCTCTTTTCCCCCCCGTCTCATCTATCCCTTCCCAAAATTTTCTCAAATTTTCCCATCTGTTTTTTAAATGAGCGGGGGGCAACCCCCCCTTTTTCCCCCTGCCCCTTCTATTTTTTCCTCAGGGTCTGGATCCTGGTGGGAAAAATTGCATTTTTATTGTCTCCATGAGTTTTTTTTTCTGAAACGGGCTATGAGTCCTGGGGCTTCTCATTGATTCTTTCTTGCCATTCCTCATGTTTATTTGTTAACCCCCATTCGGGCATTTGGGGTACCAAACCTTAAAATTCTGTTCAAATACTGAACGGGGGTTGCAGGGGGTGGGAAAACAGAGGGATCGGTGTGTGTTTGGTTTGGTTTGGATTTTTCAGTTCCTTGGGGGTGTCGTGGCGGGAGTCCTTCTGCAGGTGTTTTTTTTGGGGGGTTTGGTGCTTGCCCCTTTTCCTTTTGTTCCGGGGTTTTATTCTGCTTCCTTTTTCTTTTTCCCTCCCTTTTTCCCCTTTTTCGTTTTTAAAAAACTTTCTTTCTTTCACCCTTCCCCTTTCATCCTGTTTTCCCTGTTTTCGATCGAGTACACACTCGGGAACCTGTTTTCCTCTCACCCGTGTTTTTCTTCTGTAGGATCTTGGTTGGGGGTTGTTTTCTCCTTAAAAAATTTCTTTGAAAGGTCGTTTTCCCTTTTCTTTGTGAACCCCCCAAATTTTCTCGGAAAATTTTGCCACCGGGTCAGGGCCCCCTCCCCCTGTAAACCTTTAATCTTCAATCGCTTTTTTCCCCCTCCTGCTTTCTTTCAACATAAATTTCCCCTTTAGCTTCGTCTAGACTTTAGACATACACGGATCTCTCCCTTTACACCTCCCACTGTGACTCCCATTCCCATCCTTAAATGTGTTTTGGGTTCCCTTCCCAGGGATGTTCCTTCCTTCAGCCCCTTTCCCTAGTTATGGCCCCTATGCTTTTGGTTTGCCCTTCCTGCTCATTGTTCCGGGCCCCCACAGGAAACGGGTATGGCCCCTCCCCCAATGTCCTTTTTCCTTTTTTAAATGTTTTTTCAACCTCTCATTCTTTTCCTAGTGGGCTCCCTGTTTTTGGGTTCTGGCCCCAGGGGGGGTTTTTGACAGGACCCGGTTTACATTTTAGTTTCCATGCTTCCTTCAGACCGGGTTTCTGGTTGATGTAGCCATTGCCGATGCTACTTCTGAAATCTTTGTCTCTGTGCTGTTTCAGATGCCCTCAGCTCCCCTTTCTAATCTTCTATCTTGATTTTTTGCTGCTGTGGCCTTTGTTTTCCCCCTTCTGCATTCGCTGCTAACCTCTTTCCCATCCCCTTTTCCCAAAGCTCACTAGTCTCCTTTCCCAGTTTTTTCCCCCCTTTTTTTTTGAGCTCTGTCCCATTCCTCCCCCCCCAATTCGTCCTTGGAGCCCCTTGTCCCACCTGGTTCTAGGTTCCCCCTTTTGCTCCCAAAAGGGGGTCGGGGGGATTAGGGGGGGGGGGGAATAATGGT